ATATGGGGAGACAAATATATTACTGTGACAACTCTCCAGCATCAGAGAATCCCCCTTTACTGAACTAATCCTACAGTGTCTGTTGAAATGACTTCATGGCTTTAATATACTGGGAAATTAAGACCAATGTGAGTCTGGAGATTTGGAACAGTAAAATCTTTCCATATGGAAAAGCTTCTATGATTTATCAGCTTCTCTCAAGCAACACACACTATTTTTTCAAGAGAAAAAAAAGAAAAACAAACAAAAAACAAACTTTCCATAAAAGAGATGGAAGTAAGGGAAAAAAATGGCAAATGGGAAAAAGAGGACACTTTGTGTTTAGATTTTTCATTTAGATCTTCATTCCACATTTTCATTTGAGGTATGTGATTTAAAGCTTCATTTCAGTAAAAGGGGTCATTAGGGAGAAGGGATTTTCTCAGAGATGCTCAGGATGGTTTGATCATCATTCAAATACTGATGAACTAAGAGTGTTTATTCACCCACAAAGAGAATATTTTGGCATTCACACTGTTCTTAAAAAAAATTAAAAATAGAGCCCTTTGAACATAGGAATGAGTGCAGCAAGGCTAGCAAATGAGATATTAGTTTGCATTGCTAGAAGTAGCTATTTTAGATGGCATGCATCTTTGACATGTTTTGAATAGACTGAAGTTTGAATTTTGAATTTGAAACTTGAAATTTCTTTTAATTTCTTCCATGGGATAAGCTTACATTCCTCTGAGGAGTGCAATGCTGAAATGTGCTCACATCCAAAGTTATTGCAAATTAAATCTAGCGGGAGTAAGTCCTGTGTGAATCATACAACTAACAGCATATGTGCATGCATTTGTGCATGTCTGTGTTGTGATTTAACCCCAACCACCAACCAAGTACCACTGAGCTGCTCGCCCACTCCCCCACCAGTGGGATCAGGGAGAGAATCAGAAGGGTAAAAGCCAGAAAACTTGGGGGTTGAGATAAAGACAGCTTAATAGGAAAAGCAAAAGTCACTCATGCAAACTAAGCAAAAAAAGGAATTAATTCACTGCTTCCCATGGTTAGGCAGGTGTTCAGCCATCCCCAGGAGAGCAAGGCCCCATCATGCATAATGGTGATTTGGGAAGACAAACTCCATTACTTCAAATACCCCCCCCACACACTTCTTCCTTCTTTCCCCAGCTTTATAGATTGTGCATGATGTCATATGGTATGGAACATTCCTTTGGCCAGTTTGGCCCAGCTGCCCTGGCTGTGACTCCTCTCAACTTCCCATGCACCCCCAGTCTCCTCACCAATGTTCCAGTACAAAAGGCAGAAAAGGTCTTGGCTCTGTGCTAGCCCTGCTCAGCAATAACAAAACATCTCTATATTATCAACCCTGTGTTTAGCACAAATCCAAAACACAGATCTATATTAGCCACTATGTAAAGAATTAATTCCATCCCAGCCAAAACCAGAACAGTCTGAAAAATCTTATATTTCTGTCTTGCACTGAGATTCTGTTCTGAAACAATGCATATTAAAGACTGTATTTTTTGATAGATGCTTTTGACAAATGTTGAATTCAACTCATCTAATAGACCAAAGTTCAAACTATTGCTCTGTACACAAAGAAAGAAATCCACCATGTATTCCTCTTTATTATTGAGTAATAAATAATAAAAGGACATTCAAACCTCTTGGACTTGTTAAAACATGTATAGAATAGTTTTAACAGACTTGAATAGCACCATGGCTTGTATAACCTGAAGTACATTTCAGGGAGAGTATATTAGTCACCAAACAAATGGAAAGAAAGTAAACCCCTCTCATATTACTTGATGTGGGTGAGTTGCCATGTGAGTGAGTTGTTGCTCATCTTCGCTACTGCTTCAATAAAACTTCATTTTATAAAGTGTTGTCAGATTCCATCACTGTTTGGACCACACCCCACTGAACACAGTGACTGAGAATATATATACATATTAAAAGACTTCCTCTTTCCATGATGTACTTACATTTTAAATTGAGTCAAATGCTGGGAGAACGTAATTTTCAAATCTAAACCCCCATATTCTCTTTGTAGGGAACATTATTTTATCTTGCTATGGTAATATATGCATTTATGGGTAATCAGATAGCAATGTATATCTAGCTTCATCATTTTCATTCATGTTTAGATCACTGCTACAGTTACAGCTGTGGGATGATTACAATGGAAGGGTAATTTAGACATATTTGTGGTAACAGTCATGGTTGAACCACCACCACCAACTAAGTATTGTGCATCTGTTTGCTTACTCCCCCTGCTCCCTGGTGGGATAGAGAGAAGAATCAGAAAAATATAAAAACTGTAGAGTTTGATAAGAATGGCTAAATAATTGAATTAAAATTAAATTTACTAATATTTAGTAAAATTAAATAAATACTAATACTAATAATACTAGTAGCAATGAAAAGGAGAGAGAAAGAAACAGAACCCAAGACAGACGAGTGGTGCACAATACAATTGGTCACCACCCCCTGAACAAAGTCCAGCCATCCCATAGGAGTTATTGGCTCCTCCTGGCCTAATCTCCTCAGTTTATATACTGAGCATGACATTCTGTAGAATAGAATATCCCTTTCTTCAGTTCAAGGCAACTGAAATGGCAATGTTCCCTGTTGGCTTCTTGCGCAGATCCTCACTGGCAGAGCATGAGACACTGAAAACTCCTTGACTTAGTGTAAGTGCTGCTCAACAACAATTAAAACATCAGTGTGTTATCAACATTATTCTCATACTGAATCCAAACCACTGCACTGTACCAGCTACTAAGAAGAAAATTATTCCAAGCCAAACTCAGGACAATAACTTTGCACTAAAAACTCAATAAGCACTCAAACAACAAATGTGTAGTCACCTTAAAAATCACTGAAACTAGAATAAATAATTTAATGTTAGCTTGGATACATTGGCACAATGCTTCAGACACAGGGGTGTAAAAAGGAATATCCTTTATACATAGTTTATAATCACGACCACTAATATTGATCTAATTGACCTGAAAGCCTTGGGAAGAAGGAGCTGAATGTTTCCAAATGAAATATTACTCTGTTACAAAGATATGGATCAGAAGTCTTAAGTTTAAAGGAGAAAGCGCATACAGAAACAGTACGAAAATCAGAGAAATTAGTAATATGGTTTAGGTTATTAAAAAAAAGCTAGCAAGAGTCATTAAATATAAAAATATGCTGCACATTTTACCAATAAGCTGAAATAACCTATAAAAATGACTAGAGCTATTCTTGTTTCTATCGTATAATGTTAACAAATACAGATTGATGAATTCTATTTCTCATGATGAAAACAACTATATTGGCTGTAATGGTCAATCGTTAAAGGCACCATTCATCAGGTTTGAATTCTAAGGTCCAGCTGCCATTATATCTGACAGAGCAGATACATTATAGAGACCACATATATATATATATATATATACACACATATATATTCTGCAGCTTTGGGAGAGAAATGAGGATGCGGTCAGCAGGAGGAGCCACAGCATCAGAGGGGAAATGGTACTCATGAAAATAAAATACGCTTGCAGGCTGTGTTAGTTTTTGTCCAGAAAGAGCAGTGCTGGAGGTAGGTGAGAAGGAGAAATGAGCTGTAGTGGCTGCAAAAAGCCTGATCTGATGAGAGTCTGACAGGCATTTTGTTTTCAGATTCATTCTTTTTCAAGAGAGAGAAAGAGAGAGAGAAAGAGATGGAAAAGTGAAATTAAATTCAAAATGTTTCTCTTCAAGGAAATATGGGCATGTCAATATTTGTTTTCCTCGCATTTGAGTATTACCAAAGGGAAAAAAAGGGCCAGAAGGAAAGGGACAGAAAACAAAGTGTTACTGGCATCACCCACTCCTGTATGGTGGAGGTGTATCAATGAAGAAATGCAATCCTTTCTGTGGAGCAGGGGAATTTCAACGTGATTATAGAGCAGGCAAAATGTAGTTAATAACTATACCAGATGGAGCTTCATCTGCTGGGGATTCACTTTAGAAATGGAGAACTTATTGGTAAATATGGGCTATGTCTTTTCAAATTTAAGATCTTGGAAAACACTGACATCTAGTTTTGATGTTTAGCCAGGAGAGACAGTTATCTTGAGGGATAAGGTGATAGGAATGTTAATTTGAGCAGAGGCATTGAAAGTTATTTGCATGTTAATCAAGTCAGCATTTGCAAAGTCTCCAAATTCACTGTACATCAGCTGAAGTTCTCACATAAACAAGAACAGGCTTCTGCCTCATGAATTCTTGAGTACAGAGACATACAAAACTGAATTATTTTTAATATAATCTTTCACTTTGGCATTGACAAACAAAAGGAAGTTGGGTCCTTGAGTAAAAGATGGATCCTATCCTTAGATATGACAGTGTTTCTGGGAACAGTAACACTTTCCAAAAAAAAACAAAAACGAAAAAAAACAAACATACAAAGTAAAGCATAGAGAAATTACTGAAATCAGCTTTTTTCGCAATACAGTTTAGCAATAGATGTTAGTGTGCTGACAGAAAAAGGCACTAGAAAAGTGGAAAAAAACCCAGAAATCATTATGACCAATAGGATTGGATTGTTTGAGAGTATCAGACTCAGTCCCAAGAGTCATAAATATACCTTTGGCTTTCACTGAAAGGGCCTGGGAGGAGCTCTGGAGCAGTGGAGGTTTAGATAGAATATTAGAAAAAATTTCCTCACTGAGAGGATTCTCAAGCATTGGAACAGGCTGCCCAGGGCAGTGGTTGAGTCATCATCCCTGGAGCTATTTAAAAGACGTGTAGATGTTTTAGTGCTGGATTAATGGTTGGACTTGATGATCTTAAAGGTCTTTTCCAACCTAGATGGTCCTTTGATTCTGACTTGGTTGCTGTAATACACATACCAATAGAACTGGAGTGTACTGTAGATACTGTCATAAGAGACCTACACTGTTAGATTGGTTGGGACCCTTGGATCCTTGCTGTTGTCAACACTGTTCCCCTGTTCCTAGGTTATCTTGGAAACACAACACAGCTCTGGAATGGCATATTCCTGTGGTGCCACAGGCAATTGCTGCAATCACCTTGTGTAGTAACGTATGATCTGAAATTTGCTTGACGTGAGAGGTATTGGGTGGGTAGTGATTCCTGTTCTAAAACCCATGAATATATGCCTAAATCAAAGCCCAGGCCATCAAGTTCAAATTGCAAAAAGGTGGACTCGGGTGAACAGGGACTCCGGCAACCTCTAGATGTGTCAGGTCTACATCTGAAAACTTGGCCATTATGTGCAATGTCTTGTGCTTAGGCTGTAGCTTTAACAAAGCACTCAAAATTACTTTTGATATCCTTACAGGAAGGACTATTATTTCAACTCTCCACTGTTTTCTTGATTAATTTTTCAGAACAAGTCACACGTATTTATTAGTCACAAAGCCTGAAGTCAGTGAGCACTACTGTGGTTTTCATCATCTTCTGTCAAAAATGCTACAAAAAAGAAAATGTTACTTTAATCTGAACAGCCTGAAAAGCACAGATGCAGCCAGGTATCACCTGCCTGGGTGATAACCAGAGGCTGGCTATAGCCAGTGATAGATGACGACTAAGAGACTGCAACAAGTACTGCTTTCTCATAAAATCCCCTGCCTATCTCTCAGCAGGCCTGTGCCTTATCAGCAGGCCTGTGCCTGTGCCTGATCCTACATCTCAGAGCATGCAAAGTGTGCTCTCATTTTGTGTCATATGCAATATGCCACTAGTAGTCTTCAGCTAAGCCACACATTACCTCAGAAATTTCAGAAAATTACATGCAAAGCAGTAATTTTGTCATAAAGTCACAGGGCATATCACTTAGGGCCATGATGTGCAGTGTGGATGCAGCCAGTCTGACTGACATGAAGCACAAACCACTTTCTACCTCTCAGTCTCTAGACCTAGGCTCTCTCCATGTGGTAGATAGGGATGCAGACATGATGTACCACTTGTGAACATCTATATTAAAAAAAAAAAAAAAGTTATTTATCCATGCAGGATAGCCCCACTAATTTTCCATCATTTGCTTTAGCAGATCATGTTTTTCTTTTTACTGAATGCTGCAAAGAGAAGATCACTTGGTGATGCCTAAACTTCTACATACTTAGTAATTTAACAATTTAGCTTAAAAACTCAAATTCCTCTAGGTGTAGTTCTAGGTGTAAACATTAGGAGATAGGTTTTCTTCATGGTCATAAAGAATTAGTTGTTTCTGTTGCAAATGAAAGATAAAAGGGCTGATTAATGTAGAGGAAATAAAGTAAAAAAAGGAAAAGAATCAATGAGCAGGCAAAAATCAATTAAAAAAATGAGAAACGACAATGCTAAAGCAGTATATACGTAGATAATATTTATCCAGAGCTTCTGGAGCTCTTCACAGGTTTGTAGTACAAGACCAAATGCTTCATTGATGATTTGTTTTTTTTATTTCTGACATGCATATTGGAACTTGGAATCTTTGAAAAAAGGTGAATAAAATTTACTTGGTGTGACAAGTGTAGTGGATTGATAACAACTCCTTTCTACAAAACACTATCTATAAATGATGGCCTGAACAGACTTTGTATTTTCTGATTTGAAATGAGTCATATTATTAGAATTTTTTATGATTGTTTTACTCCATAATTATTTAATAGTTCCTCTCTTTCTCTTTCCACATGCAAGTATATCCATTTATATGTCTATATCTATAGCTGTACTTAAACAGAAATATCTGGAAGGTGAGTTTCTTCAAGATAAAAAAACCCTAAAATCAGGTCTATAATAAAATTTTTTATATACATGTTTTAAATACTGTCATTTTCCTATGACTGATCTTGTGAATTACGATAGTCTGGGTGTTTGAAAGATGCTACCAATAGTCTGAGACTTCTACATGGCTTCACTGGCTTGAAAAACAGAGAAAGATATTAACTCTTTTCCTTTTAGGTAGCTAAGTAATTTTTAATAAATGGTAACAAAAACCCCCAAGCAAACAAACAAACAAACAAACAAACAAAAATGTCCCCCCACACCAAAATAGGGGAAAGGAGAATTTGTGTAAGTTGGTTTATAGGTTAGTCATTAAATTTTTGCAAGTACATTAAGTCTTCAATATTTTGTACATGAACAGAAATTCAGTCAAGATATAGAACTTAATATGAATTTTTTGAGCAGCTCAAGAGATTTTTAATTAGTTATTGATGGATACTGGTGAAAGCTTAAGAGGAATAAACAATGCATCAAAACACGCCTGCTCTTTCTCACTATGATAAAGGTTAGTCCTTTCGAAAAGATATGAATGTAATCTGGCTAAAACATATTCAAGTGCAAATGTTCCCATACGTAAAGAAAAGATAATGATGATTTATAAGACAGTATTCAGAACAAATATATACATAATATGAGAGACAAATACAGTTAATAGTAAATAAAAATAGGTTCTTATTGAGTGTTACAAATAATTCATGTTCCTATATCTTTCTTCATTTCTTTTTAATAGAGTCTGTATCTTTTTTAAATATCCCAAACTTATTAAAAAATGAGCCAAGAGAATTGATGATGCACATGTCTGTAGGGAAGGATAAAAAGAGTCTATTCTGGGGTACTGAGAGAAGTTGATATGGATGCCTTAGGGAAAAATGTATGAAGAAGGAGTTACAAATCTGAATGTTACTAGTTTGCAGATTTAGGATGTGTTTAGTAAAAAAGCCCTATAAACTAATTTTTCCTTAAAGAAAAAAGGAGTCTGGATATCACTGAGATTTTGGCCAGAGTAGAGCGGGACATAAACAGATGTGGCAAGTATATTGCCAAGTCTAGGGCATATGCCAAATTTTACTCTTTTACTTATTGACCAAAAAGTAGGAAATGTTTCTTCTTAAACATTTCTTCTTAGTGTTTCATCTAAAATGGCTTGTCAATATGTCCCACAGTGTACCTTGTGTCTTGGATATGAGCCACTGAGATGGGAGGTTTTTGTATGTTTCCAGTCTGTATCCACACAATGTTGTCAAAATACAAATATGCATATAAAAAAGAAATGTCTTCAATGTCTCACTGTCATTGTGCGCCCACAATATAGATTTTAATTTTTTTATTTTAAGTCTCTTGAAATAATACAGAATATGAAAAGGAAACCGGAAAGACTAAGTAGGAAATGAGGAAGGAGGAAATGCATGTAAGGCGCTTTTGTGTGAATGGACAGATTAGTGCATAGTGGCATAAATGCCAGATGATGTAAGGCTGCTGTGTGAAGTTTTATATCCTCACCCCAGATGTTTCCCAATTGACTACAGAAATATGCCTCTTACATTCACTATCTGTCTTAATGGAGCCAGACAAATGGTACTAAACACAACTTTCTCAATTTTTTGAAAGTTTGTGTGTGTGTAGGTTCCCTCCAGTGATCAGTTGCTTCAAGACATTTTTTTTTCCTGAGTGATGAATTCACTTACAAAGCTCCAAAGTGCATAAAGATATTACATTTCAAAAATCATGTGTGTCATATTTGTCCGCTCCCTCACATCAGAGAAAGGAAATGAAAAGAGCTTATATTCAAAGATACAGAAAATTAAAAAGTGCTTACTCACACCTTTCAATTTTCTACATGTAATAAGATACAAAGTTAAGGTCTATAAAAGTGTTATGCATATTTTATGTGAATTAAGCTAGAACAGAAGATATATTGGAAGAGACAAAAGGTTCAAAGATGTAAGATGATTTTCTCCTTTTCTCATTCTAATTTCTAATTTCTGATCTTAATTTTCTAACTCTTTTTTCATAGTTCCATGGGCTGGCTTTTATCTCTGCATGTCACGAAAACTTCTCAGACCTAATTTATATTTTCAACATATGGAAAGTCTTGAAAAAGGGAATCCATTTTAGCTAGTATTTCTGAGCATATAGTACTGCTGATTTCATCTTTAGATCAGGCATTCACATAAACAAGTCTTGTATCTTTTTCTGAAACCAGTATATGCTGTGTTATTAAAATATAATGCTCAGGGAATATATATTTGCTGATCTCATAGCAGCAGCATTCAATTCATAGGTTAAAAGGAATGGAAATCTTTGACAGGGAAATCAATAGTAAAAAATATATAAGAAACTATATTTTATGAATCATCACTTTTATAAAAGATAAACTTTTCTCTTTGTTTCTACATTCCTAGAATTTGAAATTTGGTACTTATAAATAACCTTGGAATCATTGTTTGAAAATGAAGAGTTATTCCCAAACTATTCAAGCATTAAAAAGTCTCCAACCTTGTTAATATGTGTTAACTTTACATGTGCAATATCGCACGGCTGGAGCCTAAATATATTACAGAAATTCTGTATTTTCTGAAAATATAGATGTACCAAAGAAGCCACAAAAGTAAAAATCTGCACAACAGTAAGTAATTTTGCTAGTGTATATAAACGCTTTAGTTTTCAGAGTATACAAAGAAATTCTGAGTGAAACCTTTTATGCGTGGATACAATGACAGAAAAGAAATTACAAATTCTTCACAAACTGAGGTGGAAAATTGGGGTGCATTCTGTTCAATTTTTATTGTACTATGCTATTGTGTAGGGTTTACTGAGAATAAAATAAAATAATATATTTCAATCCAAGCCAAAGTAGTCCACTCCATTCTGCAGAGCCAGATTGATTCTCGGTGAACCTCTTTAAGTGGGCAAAACAGTCATCACAGCCAGCCTTTGGGAGTCAGGACAGGGAAATCTAGGTTTCCCTTCTTTTTAATACGTTTGGATGCGAAAGAAGAGACCAGTGGCTGATAAGTTTATCTGTCTGTGAGTTTTACATGTGGGTGTTAGCCATGCCTTCTGAATGTGAATTGCCATAGACAAGGAAACATGCTTTGAGACTGCACTGTGAGCAGCGGTGTGCCACTGTGTCTGGGTGCTGCTGCCCCAGCATCGGCTCCGCTGTTGAAGGGCCAGATGCTCGCAGTGAGACGCAACCCATCCACCTCAGCCTTTCACCACTTCACAAGTCCTTTTGAGCTTTATGAGCATTAAAGTAGGTCTCACGCTGATAACAAAGGTTAAGGCAATCATCTCTTTCCCTTTGCAGATAAGGACTTGAAAACTGCCTTTGCAGTCTCTCTCTTCTGTGCTGCACAGAGACATTTCTGCAGCCTGCGATTTCTCTTGGTTTAAGCAGTATTTATCAAATGGAAACATATGTATACAGTAGGTAAGTAAATATTTGCACTTTGAAGAGGAGCTTGCTTCCCTTTTGTTTTGTTGCTGGTATTCCTTAGCAGAAGTGTTTTTAAAATATACATAGGAAAAGAAACACGATAAAGGAGCTTAATCATTTCAGCTCCCATTGAACCATAAAACAAATGAATTCTTAATCATGTTGCTTTATGCTTACTCGTAGTCCCTACTGAGAGAAGGATAGAAGAGCCTGAATTTGGATGGTGTTGTATTTTTCCTAATTACTGTTTATGTATACTAAGGTTGTAAAATACCTTTGGGAATAGCTTTTAAAAAATTAGGAAAATCTAGTAAATTTCCAAAGCAGAATGAACTAGACCTCAACTAACTTGGGCACATTTAATTTATACTTTGCAAACCACCCATATTTTTAAAAAAAGGTTTCATTTTTTTGTGAGTTTTTTTTTGTTTGTTTGGTTGGTTGGTGGTTTTGTGGTTGTTTTTTTTTCCCCCTAATGTATGTATAACTGTTCAAGAGCTTTTCCCACAATTTGTGGTAACACTTGTGAGACTATGCTTTTGTTCTTCTCTGACTTTCCCTCCAACACATTGTTCTTTTCTTTCTTCCTCTCTTGAACCATGGGTTATTTTTAAAACTTCATCACAAGCAACAAGCACCAAACTCCAAGTAAAATATAGGGAGTAAATGAACTAAATAACAAGCATAAATAATTTCACCTGTATTAACCTTAAATACGAGGGATTGGATCCTGAGATGTCATTTTTTCAACAGAATAAGCTCCCCTAAAATGAACTACAGTGTTTTAAATAATTACCAAATGTATAACTTAACAATCGGTGTTAATCACTGTTCCATTATTCACCTCAAACAGTGGTCCAATACTACTTTTTAAAACTTGGAAATTTATCAACATCTTTTGCTATCTTGACAATGCATCTCTAGTCCATCTTGCTCAAAATGTTAGTCTTCCTTGCAAGCTTTGGAAAATCCTACTCTGTGCAATTAGATAAAAAATCAAGAGTAATTTGAAGGTACAGGCAAAGAGTCAGCCTAATTTATTTTTTTTCAGCACACCGAAGGGCCCCTAACTAACTTTCTGCTTAAGGTGGACTGCAGGAAATTTTGTAGAATTTATTTATGCATTGTGTTAAGGTGAAAAATGGAAAGGACTATCTAATTTTCTCTGGTACACTTTAGAAATCAGGCAATAGTCAAATCTACTTAGTACACTTTTTGAGCTCCTGTCAGTTTTAATTTAGTCAAAGGTATAATTGGGTTAGCATTTACATGAGATGAGACTGCAGGTGGAGGTATCTAATTGAATACAGATGAGCTGAACAGGATTTTACAGCTTTCTTCCCTGATGATGTCTACTCTTACATTACTCTGATTATGAATTACGATAAAACCAGAGACTGAACCTGAGTAAACCTATACAGTGAATAAAATTCTATTCTGTAAATGTAATCACATCCACAAAAAAAACCAACCAACCAACCAACCAAAAACCAAAAAACAAGCAACAAAAAAACCCACCCAAATCTCCCCCCAAAAAACAAACTAACAAAAAAACCCCACAACCCCCCCCCAAAAAAAAACAGGAGAAGAAAATTTAACAATTTTTGACATTGACATTCTGAAAACTGATTTAAACTACATCAATGAAATAAGTCTTTTGCCATTATATTCGCAGACCCCATGGGAAAGATAGTTCTATGCTATTGTTATACTGATAAAGGTTCTTAAATGTAGAAAAGCTTATGTAAAAACCAATGAAGTACCTTGACATTTTTCATTACTTTGTACATACATGCATGCAAAATTTACAAACCATTCTTAATTTATTTGCCAAAATGCTTTTGGTAACAGCAGAGTGAGTCAAGCAGGAAATAAACTTTAAGAATCCATTTTTAAAAGGGAAGTCTAACACAGTGCATATTGCTTTAGGTGTATATTGCTGTCTTTCTGAAACAGACATTTGAATAAAATCATGTTTCAGAAACTCACCACATACATAGGGCACTAGCAGTTATGACTTACCCTGCTGCTTATGTTGCTAACTCATCCTATTCCCATCCCTTGCACTGTGCCATCTTATTGTACATTTTTTACTTTAGCTTATGAAAAGTAATATAGAGAACTAATGTGACTCTTTCAGTCAGTTAAGGAAACAACTTTCTCACTCAAATCATACAAACAAAATGATGAAGGTACCTGTCCCAATGTACATACGGTTTTCCCCTTGCATAAGCAGAAAATTGATGTTAATTTGTCTTCCCCTGAAAGATTTTAATCCTAACCTTCTTTTCCTCCAGCTCATTATACCATTAGTGCCATCTGGTTTTAAGATAAACCTGCAGGCTGGAAGCCTCAATAGCACAGCAATATACACAGTTCTGTGCAAAACAGAAATTAATAGGTCTGTTGGATATATATACTGATAATCCCAGCTAATAACAAACTCATATGTACAGTGGGTGAGTCTTACATATTTAGAGGAGTGACAAATAAATGAGAGCCACAAAGTAATTCAGTGTTGGAGTCTGTATCTATCCTACCTCACGGTGCTTTCAGGCAGATGCTACCTCTACTTAGCAACATAAACCTCCAAGGTTCAAGACTCTTTCAGAGACAGAAATTGCCTCAGTTGATGTCCTCTCAAAACAGTACTTATTATCCCAGTATTTCCCTCTTTGTGTCTTGGGCACTTCCATCTTAGAGCTGGTGATGGTCTGGACAACCATCATCCTGCATAGTCTTGATCTTCTGGTTGAAAGGAATTTCTGCATTTGCTGACACTATAATGTGTTTCCTGTGTCTTGTGGTGAGTGAGCTCCTTTGACATCAGACTCTACCCTCATACAGACACCATACACTCCTGAAGTTACCACATTTTAACTGCAGTTTCCTTTTTAGATTATTTTGCTATTGGTGAGTGAGAGAATAAAAAAATGATGTGGCAGGGAGTTTTTTTGGGTTTTTTTTGATAGAAATAAGGTCTCATTACTAAAGTATTTAAAATCTCATACTAGACTATTACTGCCTCCTCGCAGGAACAGTGATTTGACACATGATGTATAAAGAAGTAATGGAAAGCTATGAGAGAGTTTCACTGCCTCACTGAGACCATGGCTTTACTATTGACTTGCCCAGATTGCCCTTTTTGGGCTATACATCATACAAGTTGTATGCACAGAGACATCAAACTGTTCCAACTGTATAAATGTGCAATTTATTAAACAATGCAGACATAGAAGCGCAAAGCTCCTAATTTTTATTTTATTGGTTTTTAAATTTTCTGATACAGAAAACAACTATATCCCAGATCTGTGGTGGAGTTTCTGATTGACACATTTGACCAAGCTATGAATGATGGGCTATAGGACCTCATGCATTCTTTTGGAAGGCCTTGCCTCCAGTAGGACTGTGATTCTGTGATTCCCTCTAGATTTTATAAGTCTGTCAATACTTATGTTGCAAAAAAATTGAAAAAAGAAGCTTCTGTCAACTAGAAATCACATCACAGAAAAAATAGAAGTATTTTAAACTTTTTTCTATTTGAAATACAATATGAAGATGCTTTGATATCTACACATAAAACTAGTAAGAATTTATACAGGGTTCTGTCAAAATGAAATAATAAAGGCATAGAGCTACTTAGAAGATTTTTATTCCCGTTAAAAAATCCATATGTAATGCAGGAAATTTATGTGGACACAAACCCCCAATAGCCATGTCTGTTGTAAATTCCCAAAGGGAAAGATTATAAAATGCATCTGATAAATTGTTTGTATGGGAATGATTGATGAGGCAAAGATTTAAAAAAACCCAACTTCCTATGCCATACCGCTACATTGTTTCTTTAACTTCTCTTCTGAAACTATTTTGATGATAGATTTTCCCCGGTAAATAGCACATCAATACATGCTATTTTAGATGGAATGAATGTTTCTCTCCATACTATAGAACAATCTCTTATTGTATCTTGAAGTAGTAGGTAAAAGCATATATGCATTTATTTCTCATATAGATGACATTAGGCACAAAGTGCAATGCAGGCAAAATTATGTTGCTGCTTTGTTTGGGGTTTTGTTACCCAAATTGTGATATCCCAAACCTAGGCTTTAATGATGAGAAAATTACATAGTGCATTGATGGAAAATGCAACTGAAGATAAAATTAATCAGACATACACAGAATGATACCACTGTGATAAAGTTCTAACAAAAAGCATGTAAATTCTGCAAATAAGAGGAAGTTGTAATAAAGTATAGAGTTTCTTTCAACTGACTATACAATCACTAAATCAGAATTATTTAATAAATGTTTCAGGGTTTGGTTCCTTTGCCAAACATAATATTCTCTTATAATCATTCAAAAAGTCTTATGGCATATTATTTTCTGTTTACTTTTTTTTCCCTACCCAAACTGTACTACAGTATACTCTGCCATTATGATGTGAGTGTAATCTCAAAGAGGAAAACCATTATATCATCTCTTAATAAAAAATTCAGTTTAACATCTTCCCAGATATATGTCAGTGTATTCAAAATTTACAAGAGATTTGTTAATACTGAAGACAATTTTTTTTTTCTAGAGTGTTGAATATTTTTTTTTTGAGCTGTATTAAAACAAATAAAATTATTAGCATTTATTTTCTTTAAAATTATGTGTGTCCTGAAGCAATTCAATTTTCTTAGAACCTTCAGTTGTCACAAATTCTATTTCATTCATGCAGTCCTAGAGCTTTAGTATGGGAAATCAATGGTAAACAGATACACTTTAGTCAATTGACTTATCATCATTGCCATGATTTACTAGGTATTTTTCTACTTTAGAAATCGTCTGGAATTATGTAGACTGCCTTTTTCTACTGGATATGATGTTTAATCAATTAAAGACAATGATATTCTTAAAGCAAACTCAGAGAGAATTAGCAAAAGCTACACAGTAGTTTAATAAATACAAGAACCTTAGGTAAAATCATTAAAATATATATTTATTAAATATTTTTATCTTAATACCTTTTGAATGAGATCCTAAAGACCTACCAGAAGTCAGGTTATTTATGTTTAGTGACATCCTTCCTACCCACTGCAGTGATGGAAGCCAAAACTCTTGTAGGACAAAGACTTAACAACAGGTGAAAACACAGAATACTGAACTGCACTTTCCCCATTTGGTTACCTAACATGATGATGAAATTAACACATCAGGCATGCACATGTGACAAGCATTCCTGCCCTAGTTCAACTGCATGCCTTATGCAGGCCGAGAAAAAAATTTCTTGAAAACAGACAACCTCCTCTTTTCCATGAGAGAGATGGTTCTGAAACTACCATCAAAGAATCATAGAATCATAGAATCATAGAATCAGCTGGGTTGGAAAAGACCTCTGAGATCATCAAGTCCAACCACTACCATTGTGGTTACAAGACCATGGCACTAAGTGCCACATCCAGTCTTATCTTAAAAACCTCCAGAGATGGAGAATCCACCGTTTCCCTAGGCAGCCCATTCCAATGCCTGATTACTCTCTCTGTAAAGAATTTCTTCCTAATATCCAACCCAAACCTCCCCTGGCACAGCTTAAGACCATGCCCTATTGTCTTACTGATAGCCGCCTGGGAGAAGAGAGCCACCTCCACCTGGCTACAACCTCCTTTCAGGGAGTTGTAGAGAGTGATGAGGTCTCCCGGGAGACTCCTCTTTTCCAGCTGAACAACCCCAGCTCCCTCAGCCTCTCCTCATAGGACCTGTGTTCGAGTCCCTTCACTAGCCTCATTGCTCTTCTCTGGACCTGCTCCAGCACCTCAATATCCTTCCTGAACTGAGGGGCCCAGAACTGGACACAGCACTCCAGGTGTGGCCTCACCAGTGCTGAGTACAGGGGAAGAATCACTTCCCTGGTCCTTCTGGCCACACTGTTCCTGATCCAGGCCAGGATGCCATTGGCCTTCTTGGCCACCTGGGCACACTGCTGGCTCGTGTTCAGTTTCCTGTCAATCCAAACTCCCAGGTCCCTTTCTGCCTGGCTGCTCTCCAGCCACTCTGTGCCCAGCCTTTAGCACTGCATGGGGTTGTTGTGGCCAAAGTGCAGGACCTGGAGTTGGCCTTGTTGAACCTTATGCCATTGAAATGGTGAGCTAAGACAGGATTATGAATTAATGTGAAATGTCAGCATATATATGACATTGTACAGATCTCCCCATAATATTCCTTCATTCTGGGAATCTGCTCTGGTGAGACCTGAACAATATCCCGAGCTGCATCAAAAGCAGGGTGACCAGTGGGTCAAGGGAGGTGATTCTCCCTCTCTACTTTGCAGTCAAGAGACCCCACTTGGAGTGCTTCATCCAGCTCTGGGGCCCTCAACATAAGAAGGTCATGGACCTGTTGGACCACGTCCAGAGGAGGGCCACAAAGATGATCAGAGAGCTGGAGCACCTCTCCTATGAAGACAAGATGAGAGACCTGTGATTGTTCAGCCTGGAGGAGAGGCTTCAGGGAGAATTTATTGCTGCCTTCCATTACTTAAAGTGGGCTTTTTTAGAAAGATGGAGACAAATTTTTTAGTAGGGCATGTTATAATAATACAAGGGGTAGTGGTTTTAACAAAAGAGTAGATTCAGACTAGGTCTAAGGAAGAAATTTTCTACAGTAAGAGAAGTGAAATATTGCAACATGTTGCCCAGAGAGGTTGTAGATGCCACATCCCTCTAACCATTTTCAAGGCCAGGTTGAACAGGGCTCTGAGTAATTTGACTGAGTTGAAGATGTCCCTGGCCATTGTAAGAAGACTTGAACTAAATGACCTTTAAAGATCCCTTCCAACCCAAGCTATTCCATGAATTTATGAATCTAGTAAATTCCCTCACCCTACCCAATAAAAGAAAAAAACATATAAAAATCTATCATAAGCCAAAGAAAGTCTATGTAAAGCAATAATAAAATTATGTTAAACTACCTTTTTGCTTGATTCTTAGACATTTTATCCTATTTTTGATATTTGTTTTATCTCTAGGACACAGAAAAAAAAGTCCTTATAGGAAACCTTGATAAATAAACATCATAAAGACATTAGAGGTAAACACAGAGGTTAGTATACTAATGGGGGGACTAGTATATATATATATATAAAATTTATATATTTTAAAAAATCCTGTCTCCTAACATAGGCTTAAAATAAGAGTTTTCAAGTGGCATGTTGAGTTGGATTTTGGAAGGAAAGTTAACAAAACAAGAATACTATATTTGAAGAAAAAGCAGTGGCTACAATATGTGGCTCGAAGTCAATAGAGATAGAAATACGGCAGAAAACCAACATTAGTAGTTTATTTCAGTTTTTACTAAAGAGTTCATGAAGTTGTAGAACACAGGCTGGGAGAAAATGCCTCATTCAAAGTAAGATCAACAATAATTACATCTGGATCATCATTGATATGTGATTGTACACTCTTTTATGAAAAACAAAAAATAAAAAAACATGATGACAGAGGCTCCATGACCTTTTCATGAAAACTCTTTCAGTGGTCAGCATTTCAGGCTGCAAGACTTCATTTCTTGATGTATTTTTAGCCAATCACTTCATCCCATATCTACAGTGGTCTGGGAGAATAATTTATTTTCATGTTGAATCTGCTTTATATATACACAATAGTTATATATCTTAAATCTATGAAATCTTTTATCACATATCCTTCCAGTTTTTCTTCTGCTGACTAATCTTCCCAATTATTTTTTCTGTTATTAAAGTCTATTTACCATTTCCTTGAAATCCTCAGTGATGTGCTCTTTGAAATCAGGCATATATTTCTTTCTGAGAATGCCTAAAATTGAACCCACCAGTACCGCTGTACATGGTTCCAGCACTATTAAGGTTTTGCAAGAGCTCTATTGTAATTTGCATTTTCAGCCCAATAGTAGTGCAGATGTCCTTTAGAATCCCTGTCAATATCTCCCTTCACTCAAATTTTGATCAAACTTTTTCTATATTTCTTAATATTCCTGATGATAAGAAATAGTCTTTATTCATTTATTTCCCATTTGTTTGACATTTTCTACATGGAAGCATAAATTGAAATAGAGAATGGAACCATTACCCCATTTGATTTTTCAGATTGAGTAATCCAGAATAAAAATTACTGTCACTGTATGTAAGTTGTATCTCAGATCCATAGAGGTTTACCTGAAAAAAAAAAATATTATTACTTTAAAACCAATATTGAATCAAGACAAAAAGAAACAACTAACTACACAAAACAAACCAAAGAAAAAAAGAGGAGACAAACCCTTGCAGGTTTTCATAAAACTGTTTCAGAGTATTAAGAACACCTTGCTAAATGTAATTTCCATGCGTAAGCAGCACGTTCATTCTTCATATCTCTATATTTAATTACCCTGTGATAATGGTGCAAACAATGGGAAATGATAGCAGTACTTTCTGCAAGAGAAAGAGAGCATTTTTCATTAAAAAAAAAATACCCATTCTGCACAGGAAAATGCTTTTTTTTAACATATATGTTTAATTAAAACACTACTAGCAATTTTTAGCATTGATCATAAATGGGTCTAATAGCTGGTTTCCAGCACACGGAATGACTCATTAAAATG